TTCACCATTTCTGGCCTTTAACACTACAACAGCGTGAGTTATTTTTTCTCTATAACATATGGTCCTTCAAATCGTGGAAAAAATTTGGCAGTTTTATCTTCTGGTGCTGAAGAAAGTGAATGCTTAATTTTTAAAACTTCATCCCCTACTTTATAAGTTACTCCCCGTCGTTTCAAATCATAATATAATTTCTGTTTTCTTCTTTGTGCTACTTCCGTATTCTTTTTTGCTTCTTTTATTAGTTTTTCTATATCACCCATTTTAAATTCTGGGGCTCTTTGTTGCACATAAAATAGTTTATATCTAACGGTGTTATAATCTTTCTGCCTAGAAATAACTCAGCAGGAGTTTTGCCCGTTGTATCATGTTTTGCGGTCCTAAGGGCGAAAGCAAATTCATTGACATAGTTATCCCAGCTTTTATGAAAATTTTTAACATAACTACGGATAATTTTCACTATATTTCTGTTGACCCGTTCCGCTATATTTGATTGCGGCCGATACGGGACCATTTTTAAATGACGTATGCCCAGTTTTTGGCACATGTCTTCAAATATATTACTTACAAATTGAGGACCATTATCCGATATAACTTTTAGGGGCGCCCCGTATTTTAAAATATATTTATTTAAAATAGAATCGGTAACTAATTTCGCGGAGGCTCGTTTTAAGGGAACAATTTCGGTCCATTTACTAAAATGATCAACCATAACAAGGAGATAGCGACTTTTATTTAACTGACTTTTTGGGAAAGGGCCCAATAAATCGATGCCAATTATTTCATTTGGAAATTCGGATTTAATACTATTTAGAAACCCGGCCGGGCGGAAATTAATATAATTAACGGCTTGACATGTTGGGCAGGACTGGACATACGCCCTTGTTAACTTTTGCAGTTCAGGAAAGTAGACTGCCTCGCGTACGCGTTGGATAGTTTTTCGAATACCAGCATGAGAAGCTAAAAAGGGCTGTCATGGAGCTCTGCAGGATATTTAATCTAAGACTAGCTGGGATAACAGGTCGAAATTCGTTGTTGGAATTCGTAGTTTTTGTATAGAATAATAGACCATCTATTAGTTCGTAATGGGCCGCCCTATTTCTTATCGCCACAATATCTTGGTGGCTAAAATTTTCAGGATCCTTCAAATACTCATAAATACTTCCAAACTCAGGATCCTTACCCAGTTCGGTTATTACAGTTTCTCGGGAATTTATTGTACACGCTGTAAGCATTGCAACTTTTACGGTATTACCCTGTTCGTCTAATTTAATTCGTGATAGGGCATCTGCTACGATATTTTCCTTTCCGGGGGTATGCTTGATTACCAGATTATATTCTTGCAGCTTGAGTGCCCATCTTATTAACCTTGGGGATAAATTTTTCCCTGAGTACAATCTAGTTACCGCCGCCGCATGATCAGAGTATACTGTTATCGGCGCCTTTCCAAAATAGACTCGGAACTTTTGCACTGCTAACAGAACTGCAAGTGCCTCTCTCTCGGTCGCGGAATAGTTTCTTTGTGTTTGATTTAAAGTTCGGCTAAAAAAAAAAATGCCACGGGCTGCTGATTTTGCGAAAGTACCGCTCCTACCGCATAATCCGAAGCATCCGCTGAAATTTCTAAATTTTCATCCTTTTCAGGAAATTTCAACACAGGGGCTTGCGTTAATGCTTGTTTTAATTTTTCGAAAGCACTATTGGCTTCGGCCGTCCACGAGAATCTTGCCTTTTTCCTTTTTAATTTTAACAATGGCTCAGCGATAGCCGCAAAATCTTTTATAAAGGACCTATAATATGAACAAAGTCCTAGAAAAGAAGAGAGCTTCTTTGCCGTGTTTGGAGTCGGATACTTTTGTACAGCGATTATTTTTGATTCATCTGTCTCGATCCCTTTTTGAGATATTTTGTAACCTAAATATTTTAAATTCAGGGGCTGCAAATTTGCACTTTTCGACATTAACTTTTAGACCGGCCTCATTTAATAAAGAAAACACCTGTCTTAAATCCTGTACATGTTGGTCGAGATTATCACTAGTAATAATGATATCGTCTAAATAGATAAATGTGGACTTTCCAAGAACAGGTCTTAACACAATGTCCATGCATCGCTGAAATGTTGCTGGGGCGCCTGAAAGGCCAAACGGCATACGCAAAAATGCATAAGTGCCAGACTTGGTTATAAAAGCAGTCTTAGGCACGTCCTCAGGCCTCACCCCTATTTGAAAATAACCAGTCGTTAAGTCTAAAGTCGTCATAAATTTGGTTGATTTTATGTTCCTTAAAATTTCTTCTCTATGATCGGTAACGGATATACCGGATATTTCGTTATGGAATTTAATTTACGGTAATCAATAGCGAATCTCCACCTTTTTGGATGCTCCAAAGGATAATCATTATTTTTCTTACATAAAACCACCGGGCTAGCATAACTACTTGAGATGGGCGTTATGATCTTTTTACGTAGCATATCGGTAATATGCCATTCTATAATTTTTTCCTTATTCTTATCATACCGGTATGGTTTTTGACGAACTGGCAATGCATCTCCGGTGTCAATACTATGGTTAGTAACCTGAGTAAATCCTGGAATATCACTAAATAACGAAGCAAATTCACTTACCACTTGTCGGATTCTATCTTGCTCGTCATTAGGCAGGTGGTCAAGATTTAACCTTGGCGGTTCAACCTTTTCTACACGCACTGGTTTCATTGTCAGCTTAAGGGACGCTTCATTAAAATCCAGTGTAGCTTGTGCGTCTCTGAAAGAAAGTCTATTCCTAAGATTAAATGTGCTTGCAGATTCTTTACTATAAAAAACATCACCTTTACTTGTTCGTCCTTGATACGGATATACAAAGGTACTTTACCTACGCACTTACATTTTTTCTCCTTGCGCCGCTAATACTGTCGTATTATCCGCATTATATATGCGGTATTTGCGAAAATACTTTCTAAAAAAGACTTCTGCCACACAGGAACACTGCGCGCCGGTATCCAGGAGTGCGGTGGCCGGGATATTATTCACCAAGACTTCAATCTTCGGAAGAGTCAAATTTTTCACCATTACTGTATTTAACTTGTAGGAAGAGGGGTTTTCGTGGCCTTCGGATTTCCGCACCCTCTCGTCAGCAGAAATCCGTTTTAGTTTAAATTATTTTTCCTTTCCGTGCTTTCCTCCTTCTTTTTCCCCCTGGCCTTGAGACTTTTTTCCTGGGTTGCTATTGAACTGTCGACGTTCGCCGGCTGTTTTTGAATGCTCGGGTTTCCTTGCCCACTGATTCGCTTTTTCTCCGTAGCCATGTGCTTGAGTTTGCTGTAGTCTTGGCGTACCAAATTGGTTTCGCTGTTGATATTGGCGTCTTCTTTCGACGTCCGCCGTTCTTCTACTTTCAAACTGGATTGCTAGCTCAAATAACTTTTCCAGTGTAGTCGGATTTCTTAATTCAATAAAGTCTTGCACTTGGGGTAGTAACCTCGGCAAAATCACTTGAATTATTTCAGGATCCGGACGGTTTCCATACAAGAGCTTGAAAACGTGAATTTTTCTTAAAATAAAGCTCGAGAGGTTTTCGATTCTTTGTTGATATATACTAAAAAGTTCCGTTTCTAATTTCGCACGATCCCTTACAACAGGGAAGGCTTTTAGTAGGGCAGTCTTGAAATTTTTCGTAAGTATAGGTGGGACTTCCTGCTTGACCCAAGAGACTTCTGCCGATACATTTGAACCAGTTAAGCGCTTGGCCCCTCAAAGCGCTGGTAGCTAAGGTAACTTTTTGAAACTCGTGCACGGGGTAGAGCATGAAGTGGTCATCCAATTTTTCCAAAAAACTGGTTACCGGTGAGTTTCCATTAAACGTTGCTTCTGGTTTCATCGAAGCGCGCATGGTCTGGACGATGTAACCGAAATCCTTCCAGGGCGGCAGCTGGCATTTCTGGATTCTGAGCCGTTTCTGCAGGCAGCACAGGTTCTTCTTGAAACTCGGCCATGGTTATTCTTCTTCGTTGGGCGCCACTATCAGGTTCAATGTTTCCTTCTAACCTTCTTCGGAACATACAAGGACCTGACTCGGAACAGAGAGCTTACTAAAGCTATGTTCACTAATTGTAGTAAGTAGACAGGATACAGACGAAGGGTATACAAAACCCTTTATTTTTTCTCTATATACAATAACTTCCGTACTTCGGAATACAATGACCCTCCACTCGGGGTCTAACGTAAAAAGTATCAAAAATAAAACTAAACTCTAATTTTAGAATAATACACGTGGAAGATTGGCCTTATAATAACAGGAAGCGTATGTAGCACAGAGACTGTGAACACTACAATACGTTTAATTTATCAAGAGGATTAAAACCTCTGGCCTGGAAGGCAAACAGCAACTGCGTAACTTCTAAGGTAAGCGGCCTGCTTCGAACTCACTGCTTCCTCTCTCTCTTGCTTGGCAAAAAGCCACACTTAAATACTTGGCGTTCGCCAGACAAACTTTGCATAAAATCCTTCACGCTTATAATTCTGGCCGGAAGTAGAAAATAAGAAGTGATAGTAAAGATTTAAAATAAAATAAACGTTAGTAAAACTTAAGATCCTTACAGGACAAAAAAATCAAAATTTTTCTCTCAAATAATTTGAAATTTTTTTCGGTCAAATATATACGTATTATCTTTTCAAATACCTTAAGATAAGGGTTATCCAAGTAATGGTCTTGAAAAAAGAAATCGATTTATTTTGATAAAAATGAGAGACATTTTAGCTGTGTGACATCATAGATCACATTAGTCAGTACTGATAATTACAGTTTCAATTATAATAAATTTAGTTACAAGCATAACAATAAATATAGTTTATCATAAGCAAAGTAAGTTTTAAATGCTTGTTAGAAGTGTTTTAGAGGTTTGTTACCAAACTTTAGATTTTTTTACAAAAAACGCATTAGTTCTTTAATCAAAGCACATATTAATAACTTTAAATCTTTCTCTATATTGTAATTTAAGCGACTTACTTTTCAGTAAAATAGGCAATATATGAAGGTGGAAATTCATTTTTCAAAGTAATAATTCCTACTGCTGCATTACAGCCAGCTACTGTTATCACTATTAGAAATATACCAAACTTCGCACTCCTGTAATAATAAAAAGATTACATTTAAAAGTACTTAAAATAACTGCTCATAATCATAAACATTTTATGAACATTTGATAACGCTATACATACACCTCTTAAATATCCTTTACTAAATGACAAAACTTTTATTTCTTACGGCTAGATTCCCATAAATTTTCAGAATAATTTTCATTTTGTACATGTAGGCAATAATTCAGTGCGGTGCTTAATAGTAAGGTCTCATAGTATTTTTTAGAAGTTAACCTCTTAGAAGAAACCAAGCTATAAATTTTATTTTTCAGGATACAGGATGTAAGAACATAAAAAGAAAGTTTAGCATTTAAAAATAGTATGCATTATATACCTTATTCACAAACATCGATTATTTGGCTTTTAATTTGCCAACCCTTGGTCGTAGATATTTTCAGATACGAAACTGTTTTAAAAGAACGCACATATTTATGTTTCAGATTATTTATTAAAAAAATTAATTTCGTAAAATTAAGGAATGCAACTTTCATGCCTCTCCAATCTCTGTTCAGGAAAGCTTAAAGAAACTATAATAAGCATTGTAAAAAATAAAACTATAAAATGTGGTTACTGTAGAATAAAACTGACCAAAACATTTAATTTCAAAATTAGGGAATTTTGAAGAGATTTTTAACTTGCCATAAATTCTATATATATTGACAGATATAAAACTGAACTAATTCGAGGTTGAGGGTAGCTGATGTATTAAATATTTTAATGGCAGTCATAGACTGGACAAGAAAATTACTTAACGTGTTAGAGCCAAGTTTCCAGAACCATTCTGAGCGTGAATTTATTAAATGGTGAAACGATCAGCTGTTAAACAGATACCGCAAGTTGTCATCTGTACAATTCTCTATGACTCGGATCATTAAAATGACATATCGTCTAATCATAATTGAACTTGGTATTTTATGATAGAAAAAGATTTTGAGTCATTAAGCTAGTTGACTTACTTTGACAAGATCCATGCAAATAAAATTCCAATCAATGTCAATTGAGCCAAACAAGATACGTACCACAAATGAGGTAAACACTGAAAGAAAGGCATTCTATATTACACACTGGACATACATTGCACATGCATTTTAAATTTATTATGAGTTGCTAATTTTCAGCAGCCCATAAAATTTAAAATCATGTACTGTCACGAAAAGTTTTAAAATCGACTACAGCATTGTAAGTTCTGCATTCACTTATTACAGCAATTTCAGTCGTGTTCATGTCATTAATTTTTTTTCTTTCTTTTTTTTTTTTTACCGCGGGCTTTTGTCTTTTTAGCACTGGCCACTCCTAAGGCCGGAAGTGGTGGCCATTTTATTCTGGAGACATCTAATAGGCGGCCAGCGTTACCTCCTATGAGAGAACATACAATTTACATCCGTGTCTTCTTCGGGATTCGAACCCGGATACTTCGGTATTGCAGTCGGCTACCCTAACCACTATACCGTCCGGCGGCTATCATTAATTACTATGCTCTTTTTAATCGCATTTTATCAATAGTCTAATCACTATACTCTTTTTTATCGTATTTTATCAATAGTCTAATCACTATGTTCTTTGTTATCGCATTTTTCGCATAATTTGAAGACTATGAATAAAGATTTTGCATAGTTGGCAACCACCCTGGTCGGTATAGTAGTTAGCGCTGTTGCCTGCCATATCGTTAGACCTGGGTTCAGATTTCGGAGAAGGCTTGGATGTTTGAAAATTTATAGTATTTGTATGGTATGGAGGCACTTAAAATATGCATGTAGAGCCTAAAATGGTTTCATGTGGCTTGGCGGTACGACAGGAGGAGTGGGAGATCTTGGACCCGTCTACCGAGAAATTCTCCATCAAAACTGGGGTGGAGCAGGAGAGATTCATGCTATTATTTACAAGGTGTCCAAGACTTATGACAAAGTCATACACAATTCTGTGCTTCTCTCCATGATGAAATTCGAGAACTGGTTCTAATGCGCCAGAGAAGTGAGATAGGTCACAACACACACATTGTTGATCGGACATTATATCATATTTAAAACATAAAAGTAATTGAGAAAATATTGAAAAGAATGATGCTAAAAACCATTTTCACATCTTTTCAAAATAATGTTTCATTTTTTCTTCCTGTTTTCTTCTTGTATGTGTTCTCAATTTCTTATCAATGTTAAAAGAACATGGATTGGAAAAGCACAATAATACATAAATGTATAAATTATTAATTAATTTAATGAAAGTCCAGTGCAAATCACATAATTTTAATTAAGCTGCTTCAGGTATTATCTGCTAAAATGAAGGATATACTTTGGTATAATTAAATTTGAGTATTATAAAATACAGATTTCAAATAATAAACTTTTTCATGAAAAATATCCTTACCTTGAAAGTTAATATATAAAGCGTATCAGTGACCTTTACTCTACAGAATTCAATTTTTCGTAATTAGGTAGTCTAGCCGTTGCATAATTAAACCAAAAATATATCTAGCTGATGTATAACTAAACCCAAAGAATATCTGGCTCTCATATACATTTTATTAACCTACTTAAGAGCGCAATAAGTAGGATCTCACTCACTAAATATTTCTATATGATCTCAGCAAATATGCCTATTACTACTAATTATGCATTTCTACTGTTTTTGAAATTAAATCAACGAGAAAGTAAAGCACTTCAGTTTTTTTACCTGTTCCTTCTCTGAAAAGAAATTACTATACATTCCTATGTGTGCCCATGCATTTTCTTTACATTTAGATACCGTCTCACCTAAAATTTCATTCCAGAAAGGTCCAGATCCTATGAGTGGTAGCAGAACTGTGATCCCAAGGCAAAGCAGCAAAGGTAAACAAAGCCTATTTAATGCCAAAAAAATGCATGGATTATATTGAACGATGAATTAAATAGAAATGCAACAAAAAATTGCAATAAACAAAACTAGTCCAATGTAATCACATAATCAGAGCTAATAAATGCAACCATCGTGAGGTTGCAGTTATTATATTCATTATAATCAAATGGTTGTAATTAAAAGATTAGTTGTTAAATCAATGCTTTAAGATTTTTGTGTCCGTAACTTATTTGCCATCGAATTTAAATGCATATGCATAAAAAGAAATTAAAAATTTTTACGAGAAGAAAATGTTACCTTCTTAACCCTTTAACTGTCGAGTTATTTTGATGATTTGGGTACACAAATTGTCAAATTATTTTATTGGAAAAATCAAATGTTTAGTACAAAATAAAATATACTTAAGTAGTTAAAAATTGATATTTTGAAGTACATGGGTAAAATTTTTAAAGTTTTGTAGCCACTGCGTATTTGCTTGAGGCGGCTGCCACTACAACATGGCAGTTGTAAAGTTCGCTTCTAGTGGAGCATTATTTTCTAAAAATGAAAGAAAATTAATTATTTTATAAAAAATTAAGAAATGAAAAAAAAAATAATAATAAAAATAAAAGTGAATACGTATTAGTAGTTCAGTAATTCAGTCTTGTGTGGTACAACTGGAAACACTTTTCCAAGCACAAACCAACTCCACAATCACTATACCAGACAGAACCGTGTTTCCTTCCTTATCTTTTTCGCATTTTTATCCTTTTTCGAACAACACACTTTGCACTGTCTTGTAGGCTCCACGTTCCACAGGAGTAGGAAGGAATATAGGGAAATAAAATGTCGTTCAGTAAGACGAGGCAGGGTTATCTATTGTTGGTGGTCTGCCAACATTCTTTTGTCCAGAAGCTGCATCATCCATATTTATGTAAAAGCTCTTCTACAACTTGGAATTCGAAATTCTTAAAAATGCAATACGTTTCCCAACTACATTTTATAGAGCAAATATGAGTTCCAAATTACCTTGTCTAGTAAATGTAAAAATATCTTTTTTATAATATTTTTTCTGACGTTTTCGGATTGTTGGATGAAAGGATATTTCCTAATCACAGCGATCTACACAACACATAGTTAGACTGTAGTCAGAAACAATCTTCGGCTTGAGTATATCTTCATTTTTTTTTTGAGGCTGACCATGGAAATATCATGAATACTGCACATCAGACACACAACTTTCATCTTCGGTTGAAGAATCTAAATCATCTATATAACGTTTCAAAGAACTGGACGCCATTTTACAACAAAAAGATACCGTGCACGTTGAACCAAAGAACTTATAACCTCACCTTTGAAATCTTCAGTAAAGTGCTGTCATCTATTGAATTGAGCGCACATTAACTTTTCCCGAGATACTGTCGGGTTTGACAAAGAAATGAAGCCGAAATAAACGTCTCCCGATATATATTCGGGTATAACAATACGATACACTCAAAAAAATTACCCCGAGTAATACTCGGCTCGGGCATGACAGTTAAAAGGTTAAATATTTTTTGACAAACAGCATAGAAATATTAAATTAATATTACAACCTTTATGCAAGCACGATATCATTTAAAAATAAGAATTATAGCATAGCTCTTAAATAAAACAAATGTATATGTGTATATAAACTACGATAATAAAACAAACCTTATGAGATACTGAAATATGTTGTTAAATTAATTAATTAGATTAATGCACTTCATAGCTTATGTTAATCATAAAAGCATATTTAGTTTTAGTTCTATCAGTAATTTAAATCTAAAAACAAAATACGATTCATTATAGTACAATTACAGTTAGTAATTCAAATTTAAAACAAACATTGCAGTAAGTCTTGTCTTGGTTAACAGTTCGCTAAAATTTATAATCTCTGAAAAATGGGCCTGTACTTCTGAGAAAATATACACAGAAGAATGAAATTATATGGAAATATGGGGTAATTGTCTAAGAGAGAGTTTCCTGTCATGGACCTTATAAGAGATAGACTAACCCAGTGGGCGGGGCGCCCGACACCGACATGTCGGCAAGAAAGAGTAGGGACGATCTGGTTTACTTTAACACTGAAACCTATGGCGTTTGTATCACATAACTCTTTTTAATTACTAAATGTGATACGTTGTATAGTGATGAGATTTTGAAAGCCACAGTTTTTTTCCAAATAGGATTTAATATATCTCATTAAAGCACTTTTTACTGAATTTCGCGCATTTTTTTAACGCGTAATTCTTGTACAAACATCTTTACTTTGGTAAAGCGGTGAAAACTCTAGGCACAAAATTTATAAACTTAATTTTGCGTAAAAATAAAGTAAAATTAAATAAGATTGATAGTACGTGATGCTTTGAAATAAATAAGGTAAATTAAACAAGATCTGAATAATTTTTAAAAAATTTAATAACATTTCAGGTAGTGATTTTCCAAACTATAATAACATTACGAAACGATCATATTTATTGACTATATGATCATTAATTATTAACATTAAAGTGGATTAGTTATTTTAATAATTCATAAATTTCGGAGCATAAAATTTTCTGAGCGTAATGAAGGAAAAGAAAAAGATAAAATAAAATCTAAAAGCACTCAGATTTTATATTACGCCCAAAAGGAACCTTTTTTTAAAGTTTGTGTGTGTTTACCTATATTTATTGAATATCATGTTCTTCGCTGTAAACCACATACATTTGAAAACAGCATATCTTTAGAATTTCCGCACTGGAGATAAAACTGTTATTTTCCGTACAGTACTCACTCTGAAGTCGTTGAGTTTCTTAATCAATTATTCGTTAGTTTTACAAAATGTGAAATAGATTAAAACAAATTCGAAATTCCGCCGTCCAGATGCCCATGTTCGAGTGGAGGATTACATTATTCAAAATTTGATGGCTCTAGATACTGTCTTTTTTGTCACAGTGCGAGAAACATACATGTATTCATGCAGATTCTTCATTATTTAATTTCTTTACATATAATACAGGGCGATAATATTTGGTAACAACAATTTGCAAGGAGACACGGACATTTATAGTAAAACAGCGAAAAATGCCGCTTCGAAACTAACAGCCCTTTCTAGGCTATCGCCGCTTTGGGCTAATAAATTAAATTAACAGTAAATAAAAAAAAATCTTATGCAGAACTAAAATAAATTGAAAAAAATAATCACTATAAAATACAAGCAAAACTAATTATTACGGTTAAATACAATTTTAATATTAGAATTAAATGTATAAAAATTTTTAAGGACTCAAATGTGTTTATCACTATGATGTATTATGAAATATAATTGAAATAAAATTTCTTTATAGAAATTGTGCTATAATACTCATCTATAATTTTAAAAAAGCAGCACAATTTAGAATTTTAAACGAAACTTTCGAAAATTCGTTTTTAAATATTTTAGTATTTTTTACTTATTTACACCAATAAAAAGCATAAAAATTGCAAGAGAAAATTGCTTGTTTGAAATTTTCTATTAGTTCAGATTTAAAATATTATTTTCTAAAAGAACTAGTTACAAATTTCCTTACAGCATAAGAAAAGCTAAAAAAATATCCAGCCCTGAAAACATACAATAGCTTTATAACTATTTGGAACGATAATAATGCTTGATAAATATGCTAAATTTTTAAAAATCAATCTCAATTTCAAAAATAAAAATATGTAGAAATTTTAATTTGTGAAATGAGGCGCTACAACCAGCTTTTTCTTGACAATTATACAAGCTACAATAGGCAACCAATGTTAAATTTCTGCAAGTCGTCCCTACTCTTCCGGACGTGATCAAGGTGACAGCCGGCAACGCCTCAGACGACGGAGAAAACCCGTTTGGGTTAGTCTATTTCTTATAAGGTCCATGTTTCCTGTAGACTGGCTTTGCTTACTTATCTTTGTGAATTATTTAGATACTTCTTCATTAAAATAATTCAACATGAAATAAAATAACGTTACATGTAAATGATTTTACTTAATCTGTTGAATAACGCTTATGGATTCGTAGTTTAAAATATGTTACGATTTTAAATTTAGATCCAGAAATCTTAATAGTTTGAAATCACATACGAAAATATATTTTATTCGAAATGGAATAACATTTCCTCTTGAATGGTATATGTAAAACTATACCGTCACATTCTAGACAAGTAAATTCAATGCTCCCTCATGATGGTTGCAAATACTTTAAAAATGATGGTGTAATTTATTTCTTACCTGATATAATTTTTGATTACCAAGTAAATTACATTCACGCTAACGTCTTGGCTCTTGCTTGAAGAATACCAAAAAGGAAATGTCAAAAGAAATCCACTGAAAATACATTACAAATATGCCATAAGTTATATATTACTAGTACATGACGTTTATTGATGATGATTATCAATATAATATGGCATATAAAAATAAAATAAGCAACTAGTGTGATAGATTATAAATAATAAAATCTGCAAAAATAGAGCCTTGGAAAATCCTTCCTGAAGTTATCCTAGGTTTTAAGCAGATAATCCAAGTGTGCTTTGTCATAGTCTAATAAATGCAATGCACCCATTCAGTAACTCTGTAAAGAGGTATATAACATGTACTCTCATGATCCATGTAGTCGATCTTTGCGTTTAGTAAACACCTAGTTGCACTAAAAACTCTTATTGTTTTTAATAAGTTGTAATAGAAGTATGTGAGACTTATTTGTAATATGTGAGACATACTGCTACCATCTGCATCCTAAATTTATTTTTATCCGCAAGAAATATAAACTGGAACTATTACACGTGCATCACCGTCTTATTCTACTCTCGAGCATTTGAGATCTGCAGTTAATCCAGAACAGTGTTCTAACTTTGGTAATCGAAGTAGACTGCAGCATGCTTCGTAATTTCAGAATTTGTATTCTTTTACCTGTGTCCTAGTTCTGCAGTATAACATCTTATAGTGGAGTTTTTCATTATTAGTTGTATGAAAAATCCTTCAAAGCTTGAAGGTTCCAACCGTATGATTACAGATTCTGAAAGGAAACTTCATATAAACTTTTATATATAGCAGAACATAATCTAATATTATCAGAAGGATACTTTTAAACTGGTTCATCAATTCAACACTTGACTTAAAATAGGAGGTAATTTCTTTAAGATAAGGAGAGCTTATGGGAATGTTTAGCTATTTAACAAAATTTTAATCCCCTGTTAGACATACTGTAAGGAATTAACACCATTTTTCGTATATGCCTTTTGTAGCTGAAAGTCCTTTTTGTAGCTGAGAGTACAGTGAAGCTTTGTTGAATCTTTGGTTAAAAATTCTCTAATGGCTTTGTGTTGTCCGTTGAATTAAAAGGTTGTACAGTAAATCTTCACCAACTTAGAATGATTAACTAGACTTTGCCTTTCCATATCCTCTCCATTAACGTGGGAAGATGTTAAAATTAAGTGATATAAATACCAGCATATTTGTCGGGTAATCTATAGACATGTTTCCAGATGAAGACTGCGAATTTTTCACGGTTTTACTTGTCCTAAACTTTCAATCTCTCTCAAATCTTATATCTATGTATTTTTGTTTAAAGCTCCTCCTATCACCTCTCTTCAGTTCGCTTCACTCTGCTACATCAGTGTTAAGATTCAGACTGTATTTAATTGCTGAAATATTCTTGTACATATAAGTTAAATGATGCATTTGAATTTTCTTTTCTTTTTATAAATTTTTATTTTAATTATATTTATTTATTTATCTATTTATTATATTGTGGGGAAAGGCAACGACCATAGTTGATAACACACATTTATTACTATTTACAAATATAGATTACATTAGGATTACAATTAATGAAAATGGTATACGAGCGATCGAGCGACGTCTGCTCCGCTTGCCAGCTAATCCTCGCCTTTTCCCGAAGGCGGGAAACACATGCTGACGCAATGCATACGTCACACAGTAGGGGATTAGGGAATATCATGACATAACATTTCCCACATTCTAGTGGAAGCTTCCAAATGCAATAAATTCGCCACTGATATAAAATCTGATAAAGAAAAATCTTTTAATAGAAGTTCTTTAAGTTTTGCCAGATCGAAACAATCTGGGAATGCGGTAAAATTTTGCATTCTCTTTCGCGAAGAATGATCAAAATCGGAATATCCGAGCATGGTATTAAATAATTTAATAACTCGTGTTGTGCCATATTTAAGAGAATTCGCTATCAGTGGGTATCACCTAAATTTTAGGCCATAGTTCTTTAAACAGTAAATAGGACAATATGAATATAAATAGGGTATGTATGAATGAGAATTAAACAGTATAAACAACAGCTTAAAATCGTAAATACTAATAAATTATGAACTAATTAGGGAAAAATGGGCCTACCTAACTTCGGGGCAGTCCTTATAATCCAATTATACTATATCTTGGCCAATCCAATGTAATCCAAATCAAATTTCGATTTAACGTCCAAAATCAGAAGAATGGACAAGTATCATGTAACATCAGTCACATAGTATGTCGTCCAGCTTGAAGAATATTAATCGTCATAAAGGCACGTCTTCATTCACATACGTCGTCTAGCTTGAAGAAGAATATTAATCGCATAAAGGCACGTCTGCCTTTGTTAGCTTTCTGAACGTCTTTAGTGATTGCTGGTGTCTAGGTTCGATTATAACGCATGCACAAAAGGCACGGCCGAGCCCCCAAAATGTGGGAAAGGCAACGACCATAGTTGATAACACACATTTATTACTATTTACAAATATAGATTATATTAGGATTACAATTAATGAAAATGGTATACGAGCGATCGAGCGACGTCTGCTCCGCTCGCCAGCTAATCCTCGCGTTTTTCCGAAGGCGGGAAACACCTGCTGACGCAATGCATACGTCATACAGTAGGAGATTAGGGAATATCATGACATAACGTTTCCCACAATATCGTTACTTTCCTTTCTACATAGAGTACTATACTCTACATATAGTATTCATTGCAAACAGCTTTAACGGCTAAAGAAGAAAAGAACAAAAAATTCATAAAGGATTGCAAAGGCTTATTATTTTTCAAGGCTTAAAATGGAAATAGAGAGCTGAAAAAATCTATCTCCTCTTGCATTAAACATCAAAACTTCCTGTGTTAAATAAGAGCGGAGTGCAAAAGGGAGAAGAAAAGTTCATCTTTCAAACAAGACCGTTTGCAGATTCGAACTTCTAACGTATCTCTTCTAAAATAGTTGCCGGTATAAAAATACATTTTTACAATACTTCTTTATTTAAAGGATTTTCGGAAAATGCTTGTAGGGCAGTTCTATTTTAAACTTAAAATTTATTAGCTGGTCATTGTCGAAGCTACTTCCATCGAAATACATAAATTTGCTCGGGCTCTCCTGTTATTTCTGGAATAATTGGTAAAATGTTTCTTTTGTGTATGTCCCAGATTGCTCGTGGCTTCGCTTTGGCTAGATAGAATTTCCTAAAAGCGTACATTTCTTAAAACCATCTTGATAAGAGAGAACAGCAGTGTTACAAAATGAGAAATATGACAAACTAGCTGCGGCATCTGATTTAAGAAACCAACATTACATCGTTTCAAATGCAACACTCAGCCCAACTACTAAAAGATACCTTAACTGCATTTGCACTCCTACGTTAAATACATGTTAACCCAAACGATGCCACTTTATGATTTCTTCTATAAGGTATAGGGTAATATTCTCTGACAGTCAAATTCCGTTATTACAGATTACACGTAAGCCATATAAATTTTCTTCTAACTTTTTGAAGGAAGAGGTATTCCGAATAATAGTAGATATACTGCATTGCAGTAAGTAATGCAATAACATGCTTTTTAATGACAATTAAATATAGAATATTATCAATATATTTAATGAATATTAATCAATATATTTAATGAATATTAAATATATTGTTTTAAATTGATATATGCACGAAAAACTAGTTTCCATTTTACCATTCAGCTATCATACAGTATGATTTTCCAATAGATGCGAATAATATGTAATATTATTTTCTATTACGTAATGCTAATATGTTGATACTCACTTGCACACAAACAAGGCATCATATGCTAGGGGAAAGCTCAATATGAAACTAAAATAATACTGTTCCAAGTAATTTCGAAGGTATTCCAATGAGCCTGGAGAAAAAGAATTAACTACATTAGGTAAATATAGTATAATTCATGTTTGTTTTATTTGAAGAAATATTCGGAATACCTACGCACAAAAAATCATGAATTAAAGTGAAAATTAATATTCTAGGAGTTTCCACGTTTAAATAACAAAAATTTAATTAGAAATCAATATTGAACTTACATATTAGCTTAAGGCTGAAAGTTAGTTAATTAATCTCCGCCACAAATATATGTTCACAAATGCATTATCATCTTCATAAGTTTCAGCCTGATACTCATATTAAATTTGTAATATTTTTGCTTCCTGCCTCTGAAATCAACTGTCTCCTATTTTTAATTATATTTCAGTGTGTAAATTATTGAAGTAACCTGCTTTAAAGATTTACTTTGTATATATATATATATGTGTGTGTGTGTGTGTGTGTGCATATTCGAAAACTGATAATATTAAATTTCGTTTTAGTATAATAAGTTTTATCATAATCATGTAATCAGGAATTATTAGTAAAGTCAGTTTATTACCCTTTTAAGGTCTTATTTTTTAAGTATAATGCATACAAAATGAATCTTATATTGTATTATATTTCAACTTCAACATACGATATTGAATTATAAATAATTAGACTTTATTAAGTTCAGTATTCAGATTTTATAGAACTCAAATATCTAGTTAAAAATTCAAGAAAAATTCACTTTATTTTCATATGTAAATTTCATCTACAGTAGCTTCCTTTATTCTTAAAGCAGTTCTAATTTTAGAGAAATATGAAAACTTAGTTTAGTTTCAAATATAAATTATTACCTGATGCAAACAGAAGAAAAAACTCCTTAAAATTCGTTGAGTCTCCTATTATGAAACTAAAAGTGTGAAGTATTTTATTTTACTTATTTTTCCTGCATCTTATGAATGGCGAATAAGTGAAGAAAGGATTAACTTTTATAAGTTAAGCTGCCATTTTACAATTTTATTAAATCAAAATTAATTTTAATTTAGCAATAAATATAAATTTTTGAATACAAAATGTTTTGGAGTTACAAAATTATAAAAATTTAACGATTATAGAAATAGCATAATATATGATTTCATAATCCATAATTATAGCAAATATTTGCATAAAATTAATCAAACAGATAATCTTTTCGTTAATGCTTATGTATGTATATGTAGATTTTAATGGCAGCATCAATGTTATTTAAAGCATTGTATTTTTAACCTCTATATAATGATATTATTTCTAATGAACAACTTTAATACCATTTATAATATTTTCGAAAGAATATCTAACAGCATTATAATGTTGAAAATGAAATATAAACTATAGTTATTCTGTAAGAACTATATTGAAAGGCATTTCATACTAAAGCTGAATTTGGAAATTAATGTTCTTTTATATTTGGTTTATCTTACTGAAATAAATACACAACGGAATAATTTTACTCTACTCATATAATATCTGTGTTATCTCAAACATTTTTAAATGAAAGTAAAAAGAATCCAGATGTATAGGTTTCATTGGAAAAAAGGTTACATGTACATTTTTTCAAAAAACACCGATTTTTATGATGATTCCTGGTAACTAATTTGGAAACACAAATTTACCCTAAATGATTCGTTGAAATTCAAATCATTGTATTTTTTGAAGTCTGGTACATGAAAAAAATCAGAAACTTACCAAGTTTTCCTCATATTACAAATGTGCTCTGTTGGCTACCCGACATAGAGAGTCGCAAACTATATGCATATATCTAATAGTTCGATTCATACTCTTGTAGCATGATCCTCTCAATGCCTCTTTGCCTTAATGATGTTTAACTTCTTCTTTTGGCTTCGCTTAAGGATTATGCTTTTGTACCTTCTATCGCTAACAATACTGCTAGAGCTCAGATAACGCGTTTCTGCTGGCATGACAATTGACAGAAGATTGCTACAAAAAATGTGGACCGAACTGACCACCGCTTGGATGTATGTCGTTTAAATTAATCTTAATCTCTGTTAAGCGAAATTAATCTTAATCTCTATGGATAACCTAGTAGAACGAAACAGAGTATCGTCTCTACTAGTAATTTCCAAAAACATTTTGCATCTCATATCCCTAAGACGAAAATCCCTGCTGCATTGCAAATCATATAATCTAATAAAATATAATGTAATATAATGTAATAAAATATAACGTAATGCAATGCAATACATGTGGTGTAATGTGCATGCACATTACACCCTCTGACCCGCACGGAGTTTCGCTAAGAGAACTCAATTTTTTTCAGAACTGGCTTGAGAAAGAAGTTATAATGCGAAAAGGTCGTGGGTACATTGTAGTCGATTTATGTACTTTTAATACTTTGCCTTAATTTCTTCAACATATTACAAGATGCATGTTCATAAACTTTCTTAAAAAGTTACAAAAAAGTATTCTAGGTCATTTCTTAGTGGATGAACTATTTTTAGATCATAAGCAATTACAATGATTTCTTATAACACAGGTTAACGGTGGCGACATCATTTTAGACGTGCCAACAGAGCAGCGGGGTTATGTTAGCATTGGCGAAGCTAGGAAAAGAATGACATTTCTTGCGAGCGGTATTTATACCAAAGTAGATGCAATTGTAGAGACAAGCTATGATTGGATAATTTTAGGTGGTTATGTAACGTGGAAGAATCTCGAATTCGGGAGAAGAGAGGAATTTACGGGGAGAACACCAAATCTAGAATAGTTAATTTTGAGGTCATCAATTATTTTTAAAGCAGTCATTGTATTTTGTTACATTTTACAAATATATATATATACATATATGCGACCCTGCCAGTCAGAGGGTTGAAACCGGCGCAGTTATGTTGAATTCCGCGGCTCAAACAAACTTGTAGTTCGTTGGAAAGTGGTCCCGCGTTTTATCAATATTCCGAAATAAGTTCAATTGTCGATTTTCAAACATTTATGAGTTAATTAAAAGTTGTTTATACCGAAATATCACATAAAGCGCGAGTAGTTATATATCATATGATGAAAGAAAACGCACATGGCAGGAAAACATCACGATTCCGACAGACAGCATGGAGCAGTATACTTAATTGCAGCAGACTTAGATGACGGTAGTGATTCTAAAAGCAGCCGTGGTGGCAGGACGTAAACAATACGCAAGTATATAGTAAGCAAAAAAGAAATGACAAAATCACAAATAGTTGTTTCTAATAATGTGTTAGACTTTGTGTAATGTGAGCTTAGAAACCAAAGAAATAGTATATAAACCAGTGCAAAAGTAAAAAAAAAAAAAAAAAAAAAAAAAAAAAAACATAATCAAAGTTTAGAAAGACATACAACAGATGACGATTTACATATTCAGGGGGCGAAGGATTATGAGTGGCCTTCTCCGGTTTCCATGATTATTAACATCATAAGGTGTGATGATATTATGAACATTAGGAATTTTATAAAAGAATTACTTCGCTAACATAGTTATATACATATATATTTCAGGAATTTTAAGCTCCTGGTGACTGCCGAGATCCTAATGAACCAACGACAACCCACCGCCTCTTTGACCACAATATTTTGAAGTATTTGCAGCTTCCGCATTGAAATCTAACAAGCATAACCTCAGGTAGGATAGGCATACGTAAGAATGGGACGCAACAAAGCCTTATAAATAATGAGTATTTTGTTATCAGTAGAAAGAACGCTTTTCCGAGCCATTAAGGAGACAATTAAAGGTTGAATTCCTCAGATGTTAGTGAAACCAGACAAGAGACAATGTTTTCATTATTTACAAGAGAGGACTTCGCATTCATTTGATACACAATCATAACTTGCAAGTAACATGAGCCTACTCCTTTGGCATGTCCCCAAGTACCCCTTTGCATACAAGACCATTAGACTAGGCAATAAGGCGAGCTAAAAATGACGCTCGCATAATTTTTTACAGCTATGCAAGCCACAGTGCAATAGACACATTGATTTCGCATATATGTATCGGAATATGCGAAAATTTCTTTCCTGGGCGCCGTATATTCTAAAAAATACAATGTTTTGAAACAGAATAAATCTTTTTTATTAGCCTTGTATTATAATAGCTCATTTCTTACAAAATAGCGTAAACGTTCTAAAAAAATAAATAGAAAAAATTATATACAGAAGATATTTTTTCAGGGTTACAGCCGAAAACATCGCGGATGAAAACGTCGTGGAGAAAACAACGCAAGGCGAAAACGTTGTGGCACAAAATATCGTGGGAGAATATAAAGCAAAGAGAAAACATCGCTAGTTCTAAAATATCATGGTTGAAAAATATCGATCCGGTTCGAAAAATAATTCGCAGTTTGAAAACTTCGTCGTTCAGAAAATATCTTGGTAAAAGTAAAGGACCTACAAATGATAGCATGACGATAACATCGGCAGACATGCGTTTTTCAGGCTTTTAATAACTGTGTAAATGGATATTAGCATAATGATTTGTGAGTGCAAGATGGAAAGAAAGTAATAATTTACTTTCTTCATATTTTTAGTACCTAATAGTTTTATAAAAAATGAAACAAGAAATTTAAACAAAACCAGAAATAATTTTCACTATAAGAGTATCGGATTAACAAAGGTGAAGAAAATAATATCATAATTAACTTAGCAAGTTAACCGCTATATCGCAGTTACTTATCTTTCTTTTTCTATTCTTTTTTAGATTATACTTTTCATGAAAAATTACCAGTAAAACATTATAAAAAAATAATTTATTAATGACCTTTGTTATTTAACTATGTCAGTTTAAAATTGTATTAAGTGGTATAATTTGAATTAACATTCTATGCTTAAGTTTCCTTTTTACATTTTCAGCAAATATTTATTAGTTAATAAAAAATATGAAAGTAACAGTTATTCTTCTTTCTATCTTGATAACAAATGATTATGGGAGTATCTTTTTACAATTATTAAAGCCTGAAAAACGCGTATCTGCGATGTTATCGTCATTCAAGGATTTGTAGGTACTTTATTTTTTACCACGATATTTTGGACGACGATGTTTTTAAACTGCGAGTGTTTTAAACCGCTTTATTTTCGAGAACGATATTTTGTACCACGATGTTTTAGAACTGCGATGTTTCCCTTTGGTTTATTTTCTTCCACGATGTTTTGTACCACGACGTTTTTGCCTTGCGTTATTTTCTCCGCGATGTTTTCGGCGGAGATTGTGACATCTAAAATCCCAATCACATTATGTTTCGGCTACGCTGGGCTGGACGTCGAAAGGGACAATTCTTAGAACCTGCACATTTCCACGCTCGTAGCGAGGTTACGATTTTCACTCACTACAAAGACTTGAACGCTATACAGTAATCGATTATCGCTGAGATTTGGATCACGCGATCCTTTAGAAGCAGAAATTTCATCTGATTGGTTGATCTCTAGCCGGGACAGAGCTCCAGCTGAGACATTCTCGCTAAAGTTTGAAAGAAATCCCGCTTAGCCGCTACATAGTTTCCGTAGATAGGCGGGACTTCGCTTCCAGCGGGCCTGTTTTATCTAGTAATCCTCCCGTTGAAGCCAGTGCTACCACAATCTCGTTTCTCAAAAATGTCTAGCAGAAGTGACAACCTTTTTAAGTTAAGGGAGTTAGAGGGCATTCTTACTGGTTTTGCCTGTAACTCTAGTTTCGGGAATTGGCCTAAGATTCTCATCATATGTTCAATTAAGACGAGCTCAAGGCGTGGAATACAGTCAGGTGACGAAGTAATAGGGTAGTAAAATACCTGCCTTGTATCTTTGAGTGTTCAACGAGGCATAATTTTGTTACGCTTGCATGAGAGCTGAATGTACAGGTGTCACAGCGAATAATGAAGTTTTCTTAGCAATATTAAAGGCATCTATGTGAAATTTCCTATAATGATTGCTCTCTGTTCTTAGAATAGTGCACTAATACGAATTCTGCTCAAGGCACTAAATTGAGAAAAGTAGCCTGTGCTTTCAGTTTATATCCAGATCTTTCTTGAAGATAAAGAAGAAACGTGTCGTTTGTTTTGTCGATCGCACACAAAAGTTTAATGTAATTAAGAAAAAACCGTCAAAGAAAACTACATAGCAAGTTTGGCCCCAGAGGTGGAGCAACTAGGACCGCTGCATGGGTAGTGTAATTTAGGCTGCATTGGATGGTGGGAGAATATTGTTAAAAAATTTAGAATTTAATAAAACACGAGTGCCAGAATTTTAGGAGGCTCGGAAATTCATCAAGAGGCAAAATTTTAAGGCTGGCCTTGCTACACAGTAACATACAAATAGAACAAGAGAGAAAATTAATTATTTAAATGTGTTATACATACTTGCTTGCATATAAAATGCTTTGAAAGGGAAGACATAAGTATGTCCTAAGATTATCCAAGCCACTGACGCGACCACAACTCCGCGAACACAATTTCCCAACAGCAGTCCTTCGTTATCATCATTTATATTCTTAAGTAGACGTTTGGTGTTGTTGCAGAAAGAAAATGCAACTGTGACCGACACACATCTTTCTGAAACATGAATATTCATCGTTAGAATTCGTTTTAAAATGCGTTTTACGCAATGTTGAAATTTTCAGTAACAGATAGACTAGACTTACTGTCGTCTCTGTTAAGTTTCAAGTTTTCTTTTCCAGAATGCAAAATCCAGTCGATAAAAGTACTAGCACAAACAAGGACGAATAGGAAAATAAAAACGCACCTGGAAATATAAAATCATGGTTGCTTAATCATGATGTAGTTATTTTGCCTTTCCCGTAAGAGTATATAATACAAGTGAAAAATAATACTTTTATACTATATAATAATACTCCTATATACAAGTGAAAAATGATACTCCTATATACAAGTGATATAATATGTATAATACTCCTATATACAAGTGATATAGTATGTATAATACTCCTATATACAAGTGAAAAATAATACTTTTCTACTTAATTATAAAAGGCAAAATATACTACTTAAAAATGGAGAAATACTATATTTATAACGTGTTCTACTACTGCCTTAATTTTACTGTTAAATGTTTCTGAAACTGGTTATGTTTTAAAAATAAAATATGTCACATTTAAGAATAATTTGCGCTTTCCAATAAAAGCAAGCGGATGCGATTCAATCACACCAGCCTACGTGACTCATGACGACTTTTCTCTTTATTTTTTCTTATTTATTTATTTTTGTTTTCTTTTTCCTCTTGTAAAACGGATTTCTTAAGCATCCCGCCTTTTTTAAAATAAATTAGTCGTATCAGAACCTTTGGTTATTAACCCTCTATGTTTTTTTTTTCAAAATAATTAAAAAATTGCGTATTTTTTTATTACATATTTCAAATCTGCATATATTTTAGAGTTAAAATTTTTTGTATATTTTAGAGTTAAAATATACAAAAAATTTTTGTAAAAGAGTTTTTTTTTTTTTTTTTTTTTTTTTTTTCAATATAGAATTAGATCATAGAAAAAGGTTGTCAGAATACTGAAATTGAAGAATAATGATATATAAGAGGAAAATTCTGAAAATTAATATTGGTTAAATTATGATTTATTTTATAAAATACAAAGGTAAAACATATGTACTAGTGAAAATATTTGCATAATGTAATATTTTGCATATAAATTTTGAACCACTGTCCACCATTTTCAATAGAAACTGAATTTTCAGATTCATCATTATCTGTAGAGGAATCCGAGAAATTCTCATCAGTTTCGCTATAACTATCTTCAATATACTTGAAATCAGAGACAAAACTACTATCAGTGTCGGAAATATCGTAAGGAATATAGGTTATATCACTCGCGAAACGCTTCCTACCAGACATCTCATCTTTGAATTTTGAAAAGCGCGCGAAAAATGCTACATTACCTATTCTTGTATATTTGGCAGAAATGTGGACAACTAACACCATCTGTTAGTATACATCTAAATAAACAATTAAACATCACAGAAAAGCCAAAAGGAAACCTTGAACTAGGAAAGAGCTAGTTGCACAGTAAATAGACGGCAAAAATTCATCCCCGCGGAGATCGCGGGTTGCGCAAATTTTGCTACTTCTACGTTACCAGTGCCCATATTCTAAGATTATGTTATTCAAAATTTGATGGCTCTAGGTACCTTTGTTTTATCACAATGCGGGAAACATACATACATTTATGCAGATTCTTCATTATTTAATTTCTTTAAACATGATACAGAGCTTTAATATTTGGTGGGAGCAATTTGAAAAGCGAATAATTTTATGAGAGATTTTTTATAACTTACAACAATAAATAAGTCGTTACAAATTTAAAAGACTGGAGTTGAATGTAACGGGTTATGTCCTTAAAGGAAGAAGAAGCATTTTCGTGGAAGACATTCTAAGAGGAAAATGACTCATATTTATGTTACACATGAAAACAACCACCAAATTTACAGAGTAGCTAGCTCTTTTACGGTGTTTTGAACTAGTTCTGGAATAGTGCTGTTTTACATGAAATGACGCAAAATGGCAGAACGAAATTAATATTCCTTCTACGCAAATTGCCCGCTTGGACTAAAAATAAAAATAAAAATATGAAAGGGTTGAGATTTTATATTACGCCCAAAGGGGCGTTTTTTGAACGTTTACAAATAAAACAAATTCCAAATTTGGGCTTCCAGATGCCCATATTCGAGTGGAGTACTACGTTATTCAGAATTTGGTGTCTGTAGGTACAGTTGTTTTTTCACAAGGGGAGAAACATACATACATTCATGCAGATTTTTCGTTATTTAATTTCTTTAAACGTAATACAGGTGGTATACTAATATTTGGTGGCAATAATTTGAAAAGTGAAATGCCGCTTTATAGAGGAAGACTCAAAATGCCAAAACGAAATTAATAGCATTTTTGGCAAATTGCTTCTTTGGGTTAATAAAGTATATGCATGTGAAAACGAGGCCTATGGATTATTTATGACAAATTATGTTGTATCGAGTATTATTAAAAATTACTAATCTTTTACTCACTTAGAAAACTCATTTTTACTTTTACTCACTTTACTTAGACAATATACTAATTGCAGTTTCGATTGCATTAATTAGTAATTAAAGAAGAATAAACTACATGGCTAAAAGCTCAAAAAATTTTATTTAAAAATTATTCATAATAATAATTAATTCTTTAATATAGAAGACAAATTAATAGCATTATTCCTAACATAACTAAGTCTTTAATGTAAAAGACACATTTCTAGAAGTCTTTATTAGAAGATTAGAAAAAATTACAAATTTTTCTTTGTAAGAGTTAAGTAAAAATTTATATTTAGAAGAATTTCTTCACTTGAAATTTTAGAATTCACTTAAAAAAATAGGCTACTTTTAATATAATTATTGTTTCGAAGTTATTTTTTTAGAAGTTAAAATTCTTTCATTTAGAAGTTGTTTTGTTTAGAAGCTATTTCGAACACATTTTACATAAAGAAACTTTCGCGTTATATTTCAAGAAGCTTCACTTGAGAAGTTCTTTGTCTCTTTTCCTTCAGTTTGTGCTAAAGAGACGAATGCATAAGAAAATTGAACGCCAGTAGTCCAGAACTAGTTCAAAACACCATAAAAGAGCTAGCTACTCTGTAAATTTGGTGGTTGTTCTCATGTGTAACATAAATATGAGTCATTTTCCTCTTAGAATGTCTTCCACGAAAATGCTTCTTCCTTTAAGGACATAACCCATTACATTCAATTCCAGTCTTTTAAATTTGTAATGACTTATTTATTGTTGTAAGTTATAAAAAATCTCTCATAAAATTATTCAAATAAACTAAATTCAAGAACAAAGCAAATAAAAAAAAAAAATCTGAAATTTTTCAGATTTTAAATTACGTGCAAAGGGGCGTTTTTTTAACGTTTTGAGTGTTACCTTTATTTATTAAATATCATGTTCTTTGCACTTAAACCATAAAATTCAGTTCAAGAGCAATATCGCAAAAAAATAATGTTAAATTAAGCATATCTTTAGAATTTCCGATATACGCAGTCTCGCGAGCTGGAGATAAAAGTATTTTTTTTTCTATATAACGTTGCCATTTCTCGCTTTTAAAGCATTGAGTTTGTAAATCAAAAATTCGTTAAAGTTTTACAAAATATAAAATCTATAATAAAACAAATTCCAAATTTGGGATTTCAGATGCCCATATTCGCAGTAGGATTTCGTCATTCAAAATTCGATGGCTCTATGTACCATTGTTTTATCACAATGCGAGAAATAGACAATCATTTATGCAGATTTTTCATTATTTAATTTCTTCAAATATAATGCAGGACTCTAACATTTTGTGGCAACAGTTTGAAAAGTGAACCGTTTATGAGTCCGACGCAAAATGCCAAAACGAAAGCAATAGTCCTTCGGGACTGAAATCCCTTTGGACTAATAAAAATTCTAGACCAGGAGACTGAGATCCAGTTGTAGCTTGTATAAACAGGTAATATTCGATAATAAGGTTTGCATTTCTACTGGAATTTTAATAAAGCAATTTCATACATTTTCTTGTTGATTTTATGTTTTATTTATTCTGTCTTAACAAACTTTTTTTTCAAATTATTGAAAGGCAGATTATGTTATTATTAAGAGACATCATTATTATCAAAAGACAGACATGCATTTCAGAGAAGAATCACCAACTAGGAATATCTCACATTATGGCCATATGAGTTCTGTCCACTTCTCCTTCTGACTTTACTTCACATCTCTCAAGAGCAGACGATCCAGGAAACGGAACTAAAAAATAAGAATTTAAATTTAACATCCAAAATTTTTAAGTTGGTTTAAAAAACATTTGTTTATTATTTCGCTTCAGCTCCATAGATTTCCTAAAATTATAATGAAATGCTTTTCGTGCTAAATGGTGAAACATTTTCTAAATTCGGAACCGTCCGTAAACTATTACCTTCTAGAACCAAATAAAGATTAACAAACTCAACTGTTTAAAAACACTGCATGAAATTCTTGAGAACTTAAATCTGCATTTTCCTTTTTTAAGTAATGTGTCTAATTGTTATTAAAATACATTTAATTTAATATGTAATAAGTATAACTTATAAATTTTATGAAGCTCTAAAATTTTATTAAGATTGATAAAAGATGCCTCTAATGCTCTAAGTTAAGAAATCGATACATATTTTAACCATTTAATTATATTGTTGCGTGCGTACGGGTTCGTTATGAAATGAATGCACAAGTCCGATGAAAAATGAACAAAAATTTATTATTATCACAACAAAAATGCTTAAATTTTCTCAAATTATCATGCAGTATTACAATATCTCACAGTAGTTTTCTTTTAACTACTCAAATGTCCAATAGAACGTAATTCAAAACAGCTAAAGAACGCTAATCCGCGAATTCGCTACAATCAACAACAGTAGTTTTCTAAACAACAACAAACTAAGCAACTACTACAAACTGAGATGTTTTTCCTCCTTTATAAGATTTTAAAATCACGCGCTAGAATTTTCCAGTACTTTCTCGAAATCAAAAAGAGATATTTATTTATTTAATGCACGCGTTCTTGTATTTTCAATTTTCCTCCGGCTTAGCTTTCTTTTAATATTCGTCACGCGCTGCACTGCGCGAGAAATAAAACCATTTAATTATAATTGAACTAACATTAGCTTTTTAAATACCAAATTCGTAACACTGCCCCCTTCCCAAAGACTGCACGTCCCGGGCAGTACAATCCCTGGACAGGAAGCTAAACTTACAACTGTCGCATAAATGCATTAATAAGCATTACATTACAATAATAAACAACATGAACAATAAATGCAATACATAAAACAAATCAAATGCTATCAAATACAAATCAAATACACATTTAAAAACAAAATGGACCATGGTCTTATACTATTTACAATTATTTACATTATGTACTATGGCCATAGTAATGAGCTAACCTGTCGTAATGAACGACTTTAGGTTTAGAGTTCGAAGACTTACGAATCCGAACCACGACGTCATTCAGCCTGTTTAGGACTGTGTACGGCCCATCCCAAGGTGACTGTAATTTCGGACAAAGTCCTTTCCGTCGAGTAGGATTCCAAACCACACCTTGTCTCCTTCGTGGAATTGATGTTCAGTAGCTTTTGTGTCGTATCGGGTCTTCATCTTCTCCGTCGCCAAGTTGACTCGCTCTCGTGCAAAATTGTGCATCACTTCAAACCGGGCCTGGAGATCTTGAATATATTCCTCAGACGATGAAGGAGCATCCGGAGGGCGGCCAAACAATAGATCACAAGGCAGACGAAGGTCATGACTGAAGAGCATCTGTGATGGAGTATAGCCGGTAGTCTCGTGGACAGCACTGCGGTAAGCCAGTAAAAACAGCAATAATTTCTTGTCCCAGTCCTGCTGGTTTCTGGAAACCACTAATGAGAGGTTATTAAGGATGGTTCGATTGAACCTCTCTACCATGCCGTCCGACTGGGGATGTAATGGCGTCGTTTGGGTCTTGTTAATGCCGAATAGTTTGCATAGTTCTTTGATTACTACCGAGGTAAAATTCCTTCCCTGATCGGAATGTAACTGAAGAGGCACTCCGAACCTGGAAATCCAGTGCTGTATCATCACCTCAGCTACTGTAACAGCCTCTTGATCAGGAATAGGATACGCTTCAGGCCACTTGGTGAAGTAATCAACGACAACAAGTATGTATTTGTTGCCATCAGCAGTTCGCGGCAGAGGTCCCAGGATGTCAAAGGCGATACGTTCAAAAGGCGCCCCCTACGTTGTAACGTTGCAGCTTGCCTCGGCTGCGTCTCTTCGGTCCTTTCCGACCTGCCAGGCATCGCAAGATCGGCAACCACTTTTGCACGTCATCCTTTGCATTATTCCAGTAAAAGCGCTCACGAACTCTCTATAAGGTCTTCATTATTCCAAAGTGACCTCCCGTAGGGCTGTTTGTGTAGTTCTTCTTTAAGGACATCAGGAATGCGGGATCTTGGAAGTATCAGCTGCCATCGAAACGTCTTCCATCATCCGATCCGATTCGAATTTCCGGTATAAGACGCCGTTTCGAATGTGAAGTGAATCCCAGTGTGCCCAATATTGTTTGGTTGTAGGACTACACATAGAAATGTCCTGCCAGGTAGGTTTTCTGTTTGACGACTCCATTAAATCAATTATGGGTTTAATGTCGCGGTCTTCCAGCTGGTCTTTTCCTGACTTCATCATCACTCCACGGGTCTCGATCAGCCGATGTTTGTGTTGTAACTTTGTCTTGCGACCGGAGTCAGCAGCTCGTATTTCGCTTCCACCCTGGAACAATATCGGCAGCTTTTCTTGTGCAAGGTCTTCTAGAACAGGACGTCGGCGTTTCCCGTGTGATAATCCCTTACGAATGACGGATAGTGATGTCATATTCTTGGAAGTCTCTGTATCCACCCTGGCTACTTGACCCTTCAGGATTTTTGAAATTTAAAAGCCAGGCCATTGAGGCATGGTCCGTGCGGAGGAGGAATTTTCTGGCCGTATAGATAATGATGGAAATGTTCTACAGGCTTTGACTATGGCGAGCAACTCTTTGGTTGTGACACAGTAATTCCTCTCCGGTTTAGACAGGCACTTGCTCCAGTAGGCTACTACACGTACACGTTTCTTGGTCGTCTATTTCTTGGGACGAAACAGCACCGACACTTTCATTGCTCGCGTCGGTGTCGCGAGAATAAAAATGGTCTGTCGAGCTGAGGATACGTCAGGATTGGAGCAGATGTTAAAGCTTCCTTTAAGTTGTTAAATGCATCCTCGCATTCTTTTGTCCACAAGAACTTTTGGTTGCTCTCTGTCAACTTGTGAAGGGGTCTTGCGATGGAAGAAAAGTCCTTCACGAATCTCGTATAGTAGGTGCAAAGCCCTAGGAAGCTTCTCAGCTGATGGACATTTTCGGGACGTTTCCAGGATTTAACCACTGATACCTTTTCAGGATCCGTGCGCACACCTGCTGCAGAGATGACATGTCCCAGGTAAGTCACTTCCTTTCGGAACAATTTGCATTTAGCAGGACTCAGCTTCAGATTGGCCTCTTTCAGTTTCTGAAGCACCTTTCTAAGATTTTCTAGATGCTCTTCAAAACTCTTTCCGATGATGATGATATCGTCCAGGTATATCAGACAGGCCTCGTAAGAAAGGCCTTTCAAAACAGTCTCCATAAGACGTTCGAATGTTGCCGCCGCATTACACAGTCCAAACGGCATCACTTTGAACTGCCAAAGTCCTTGTCCCGTAGTAAATGCCGTCTTTTCTCGGTCATCAGGATGGATTTCTACCTGCCAATACCCACTCTTTAAATCAAGGGTTGAGAACCACTTGCTTCCAGAAAGAGTGTCTAGAATGTCATCAATTCTAGGAAGAGGGTAACTGTCTTTCTTCGTAACCTCATTCAACCGGCAATAGTCAACGCAAAAACTTGTTGAGCCGTCTTTCTTTCTGACGAGAACGATGGGAGATGCCCATGGACACGCTGAAGGCTCGATGACATCGCCTTCTTCCATATCTTTTAACAGTGTTCGCACCTCTTCCTGTTTAGCAAACGGTAGACGTCTTGGATGTTGCTTGATCGGGGGATGATCGCCAGTATCTATTCTATGTTGTGTCAACTAGTTCGACCCATGTCAGAAGACGAGCGGGAGAAAACAACTTGAAGATCTTTAATGACGCGAGCGATCGGCAGCATTTTTTCTCTTTATCGTTTAATTGTGCATTCTGCAATAACTCCGATGTAATGCTCTCTGAGGACACCGATTCTGGGATGTTACTCTTTTTTTCAACGCTGGTTACTGGAGTACATGTTGCAACCACTTCACCTTTCTTAATAACTCTCGAATTTTCAGTTACATTGGCGACTCTCACCGGGATAACCGTTCTGGATAGGTCGACGAGTGTTGAGGCTACTAATACTCCTTTTGGGATATTACAATTATTGGGATATTCTATGATGCCGTAGCGGAAATTTCTATTTTCGGCTATGGATCCACGAAGTAAAATTTCTGTTCTTGCCGGTATTGTAAATATAGTCTTGTGCTATGATTTTATGGACAGATTTAACTTCTTCATCATTAACGAGAAATAACGCTATGTCCTCAGATGTAGAATGCAATTCGTTATTTTTAAAATCCAAGGAAAAATTGTATTTCCTTAGAAAGTCCAATACGAGTATGCAAGAATCAGTGATCTCTGCTACATATGCCGTGTGATGATAAGCGGCACTTCCAAACGTGATGTTAACATTTACTTTTTTACTTTCCGTCGATGTCGATCTTCTCACCGGACACAGTCTGGAGGGTAACGCAGGGCGGCGTCCAGGTAAGTTTGTTTCCTAGTTGTTGAGCCAAATCTTTTCGGATGATGGTGACGTTGGCTCCTGTATCTATAGTCATATTGCACGGAACTCCATTAATATGTCCTATAATGAAAAGTCCATTACTGCCGCCTCTCACTGCAGAAATCTGAAGCGCTTTAAACGGGGGCTTTTCATTATCTGGCAACCTCCGCCCCGCGAGATGGCCACTAATTAGTTTCCCTGCTGCTTATTAAAAGCGGTCTTAACATCAGTACCCTGGGGTGATTTGCAGTTTCGTCGTATGTGTCCTTCAGCACCGCAGTTCCAGCACTTAACGGTCGGTTTCTTCTCACCAATATTCCGTCTCAAGGCGTTCAGTTGTCTAGTTAAATCGTCAAATCGAGCGGTGACTTGATCCCCTGGCTCCTGGACTTGAGCAGCTCTG